GATACGCATGAAACATCTGTCGAAATCAGGTTTAAGTGTTGTATGAAAATGTTTTATTGGTATAGATAGGATTTCTAGAACTTCCAAAGGTCTGACAAATTTTTGACAGATTTGAAAATCTCCAGAAAATATATAAACACAGCCAACAGTCAAGCGAGTCAAAAATCTTTCGGAAGCAAGTATCGAGAACCACAGGAAAATCTCTGACATGTGAGTCAGCTTGAAGTGAGATGAGATTATAACTGAATCACTGATTTCAGAAACACCACTTTCGGCCAGTTTTGACTTATATACGATACTCAGTACAAAACACGTAGACCTTCCGGTTGAGCATACGTAATACCGAAGTCCAACAAAACAAACGTATTTTACACGCCTCAAAAATGTTGGCTGAGCACAGAAACACCTTTAGTCCGTGTCTTAGGTTGATTCTGCACACATTCTGACGCACCCTGCAGAGGGCTCTGACATGACAGACATCAGCAGTTTTATTTTGTTACATCCACAGAAGTTTAACTCGAACACCGGTAGCCTCCAGTCTTTTTTCGTCTGATTCAATTTCTTGCAGTGCCAGTGGGCTGATTAACGCAACAAGATATCCATAGAAGAAGTATATAGTTTGAAGGTAACTTCAACCTAATTGAACTCATTGTAAACTAACAGATTTGTATGTACTATTCCAGAGTCATGAGTGACAACGAATTAGAGCAGTTAACGGCTAATAAAAGAAAAGAAATAAAATCAAGAAAGCTCGTATTACAGGTGAATGCTACAAAAATTACCAAAACAAGTTAGTACCAGCCAGGGCGCCTAAAGATTGTGGGTGCAGATAGAAATGTACCGAAAAATTTCTGAATGCGGAGAAACAAGAAATATTCATGAAATTTCACGAGATGTCCTCTAAAAACGAACAAGATCTATATCTGCAGGGGTTAATAATTTGCAAAAAAGTCGAACGCCGTAGACCACGCAAAGAAAACGCAAGAAATAGAGCAAACTCTTTTTCTTATAATATACTAGTTGGTAACGATAGAATACAGAGATGCTTTTTGTGGTTTGCACGGTGTTTCACATGAACGTGTAAAACGAATAAGACAATTGCTACAAGCTGGATGTGCTCCAATGACAAAAGAGGAAAGCAGAGGAGTGGAAATGCAATGAAGCCATCAGAAATACTCTTAGTTACTGAACATATTTCCATGTTTCCCACTAAACAAACGCATTATGGCACTCGTGAATATAACTATCTGGATTCAGAATTAAACATGAAAATAATGTATTATTTGTTCCTTGAAAAGTATCCAACATCTAAGATAAAGTACGAATAAAATATTCCCAAGTGGATGTGTGCAACCAGTGTGAAACGTTGTAAAACTAAAAAATAAATCTCTCAACGATACGGCTAAACGAGTTGCTGCAGCGGAACTGCAGGTTCATAAACGACGAGCTAGGAAATTTTATAATTCCTTGAAGATGTCTAAAGAGATCTGTCGTAGTCAAGATAACATTCTGGCATTATCTTTTGGTTACATGCAGAACTTAAAACTACCTCGATGCCCTGCTCAGGATTTATTTTATTTAACGAAACTTAGCGTAAGTGTGTTTGGTATACACAACATGAAAACTGATGAAGCTGGTTATTTCCTGTATCACGAGGGGCAAGCAAAAAAGAGTCCAAACGAGGTTTGTTTATTCCTGTTGCAGTATATAGATAAATACATTACAGAATTGCACTTATTTTGCGATAATTGTCCTGGAAAAAATAAAAATCATGTTGTTCCTCGATTCTGTTCAGCTCTTGTAAGCTCAGGCCGATTCTCAAAAATCGAAATATTTTTTCCTATTCGAGGTCATTTATTCCTGCCGTCTGATAGAGATTTTGGACTTATCAAGACAAGACTGAAAAAAAGAGACAGAGTGTATATTGTATTGGAATACGTTGAAATGATAGTAAACTCCTCAAGTAAACATAAGTTTACTGTTCATGTTGTAGATTCCACACAAATTAAAGACTTTCGCAGTTGGTGGGGTAGATACTTCAAAAAAGATACTATTTCAGTTGAAACGTCTTCGAGATCAGTGCCCAGGAGTTTAAAAGAACGGTTTAATATTTCAAAATTTCACTACTTTATGGTCAAAGCAGAAAACGGGAAAGGTGTTATTGTTGCGAGAGACTACATTGGTGGGCTTATAGAACACACGTTTCCATTGCTTCTGTCAGGAGTAATGACTATTGATTTGCCAGCAGATCCTGCCATCCGCAACGGAAAGATTCCCATCTCTGATAAAAAAAATGGTGCATATAAAGAAGGCTTATTCATATGTGGATGAAAATGAAGATGCCCAGAACTTTTGGAATGGAATTTTGGAGTGGCCGACGTTTGCAAAAGAGTGATTTGATCCATCATTAAGTTTATAATTACTTACGAAGTAATATGTTTAGTTTGATTTTGTGAACAGCTTGTTCTAATAAAAGAAAATCAGAAATATTGATAGTTACAATTTGTTTAATGCAGAAACCACCTAAGTCCATGTGACATTTGGCCTTATGACCTTTTATGACACAAAGATATTTAAAATATTTGAACGTTCTTTTGAACCTATCGACCTATTGTACTAAATGAGTTATGTTCAAATACAAATAATCAACATTCAAGAACACCAACCAGTTTTTTCTTATTATCTCCGAACATGTACTTTGTGACTTAGGTTATTTCTGAAATCAGTGATTCAACTGAGAAAGTGGTCAAAATAGAAACTACTGAAATCAGCCTTGTGTGGTCTAAGCTGTCAAATATTACCAAGCTATTCAATCGCGTTTTCTTTCAGTGAAGCCAGTGTTGGACTGGTGCATATCTCAAATTCTTATAACAGAACCAATTTATATATTCCTGTTTTTTTTTGTGCGCATTTTAAACTAGTTTTTCACTTAGTGTAGAAACATTCAGAACTTGAAGCAACTTGGGCTGTTGTCTACTGTCTTCTGATTCGATTTCCATCTTTGAATGCAGCCGTGCTATTTGCTCATGGTTTACTGTTATTTTTTTTTCGATGATTCATCATAGTAACATGGAAAAGGACAAAGAAATGAAAAATATGCTTCATTGACAGATTACTGCACGCGCCACGACATGAGAGTTGTTTAATGTTGTGTTGGGAGCAACTTTAGGATTAAAGGTATTAACTAAGATAGAGTATTTAAAACACAAAAACTGCGCTAGTTTTATCAGAAGAAAACATTATATCTCTGAGCCACAGAAGCAAAGCGAATCTCAGGCTTTCGATTCTCCCATCACTAGTATGATGAAATGACAATTTGTCCGTCCTTGGATTACTTGAAATAGTGATGTGCATTCTAATTCGCTTCATTAAGTTGCGTTCAGTTCTAGGAACTGGATCGTAGACAACCTACTTTATGCAACAATACCACAAAAATATATGTACAGAAACAGAGCATATATTCCAGTCTGTCAGTCGAGATAACGCAAAAGCGATTCAATTCATATCATTTAACCTGCAACTGCAATTGAATGTAGGAATGAAAACAGTTGCAGACCAGTGGTGTCAAAATGTCGTTGAGGAATTGGAAAGAAGTGTAGGTATGAATCTGTTGATACGCAACACCTAACAGGGATTTGAGTGAAAAGGCAAGTGCAAGTTTGCAAATGTAGGATAAACTATTAACATATGGATTACAAAAGTTGCAATAAACATGCAGAAACCTTCAGCTAAACTGAAAAAAATGGATTTTACTCAGCCATCAAGCTTTTTTTTTTAATTTTGGCTCAGTTTTATATAATTTCATAATATTTAATAAACTGGATAAATTTCAGTGGCAAGCTGTCACTTCATATTTTACACTGTTTTGTTTTGAATACTTTGCTGCCAAAAATTTGACGGAGTGATCTTGAGGCTGATTGGGTATATTTGACGGACTGTTTAGTACTCGTACCCTATTGGTGCAGAATAATGAGCCGTATTCATAAAAAAGCATATCCTCGGAAGCATAAGGTAAAAGTATAAGGTCTTGCTTCGGAGAAAAAGGTAGAAGTATAAGCATATCCTTGTTTTCATATTCATAACGATTCCCTTATCCTCGCGAGGATATCCTCCAAGAAGAAGTAAAAGGTTGACTGGTATTTGTATCTTGAGCGACATGTCCTGACTTGTTCCAGCTTGTAGTTGAGTGGGAGTTCGTACACTCAGCATCACTCACAGTTGTACTCCAGAGCTTACACAGACCGTTCCGTATTTTTACTGGATACAGTTTTTTATCAAAGTAATAAGCATGTCATCCGCAACTGATGAGGAAACTATAGAAAATAATGGCAACGACCTGCAGTTCATCGCAGATGAAATTGCCATTGCTTCCATTATTTTGCAAAAGTCACAAGTACGAAAAATAAAAATGAGAAAGGACGATGCGTTGAAGATGTTGAAAAAATACGAATCAACATTCGATAAACCATTAGATACTAAAGGCTTATTAAAAAAATCAACAACATGAAATCAAGATTGAAGAAAAAACAGATCTAAAAAAAAACTGGTAATAAAGCAATTAAATTGTTAGATTGGGAAAGAAAGTTGCTGAAAGCTATGGAAGGTGACTGTAATCCTACAATTGGGAAAATTAGAGGTCCCATTCAGGTTGGTAGCATTCAAGAAGAAGGAAGTGAACTACATACCGAGCGCAGTGGGCGAACAGTTAATATTACAGCGCCAGCAATACTGCTACGTCTAGTGCTATTACAGCAGTACCAAACAAGTACTTTACAACAAGAGTATTATAAAACGAAATTAGAAATGATGCAGCGTCAGAAGTTACCTGTAACTTATGATGTTCACGAAAATAAAACTTATATATATAACTTATAAGTACACTTTAATCAGTAAAACTATTTATTATAATGCTCAAGTTTCTTCTTATTTGTTGACCTAGTTGGCGGAGAGGAAGTTCGTCATTCTCATGATTTTCTTCATCTGGGTCTTGTTCAACTAACTCAAAGTCAGGATCGCCCAAGCTCTTCGCAACATTATGGAGTACAATACAAGCAATAATTATTTTTGGCACATTTTCCAACTTTACGCGGCAAACATACTGTAGGATATTAAACCGGCGTTTCAGTTAGCCGAAACAGCGTTCAATTATAACTATTTCTTGTTTTAAAAGCTTATTATAATTTATTTCTGCACCTGGAGTAGGATTTCTGAAGGAAGTCATAAGGCATGGCTCAATACCATAACCGTCATCGTCAAGTATTATTTATTAGTTGTGATCTAGTCTGTGAATTTCTCCATTCTGAAATCATGCGCTGATCCAGGCCAACTGACATCAACACTTGTGAACATCTCTCTGGCATCACAAGTGGCTTGCACATTTAAAGTAGGTTTCCCTCTTCGGTTGATATACTCATCTCCATGGCGATTTGGTTTCCGGATTCCTATATGTGTCCAATCAATTACACCAATTGCTGTCGGACATTTATACATGCTTTGCCATATCCGCTTGGCCTCCATCAGTTCATGGTTGGTAGTTGGAAACTTGACCCATTCGTTCGACTGTGCAACTATGCTGTTCACAACTCTATCCACAGTCCGAGATACCGTTGCTTGACTAACACCAAGTTTCTGACCAATACCTTGTTGATATCCAGGGTCACCGAGATAGCGTAGACATACGTATCTTCATTTTATGAATACATGAAAAAGTTTCCTCCTTGAGTTTCCTCATTCTCAATTAAAAATCTGTACGTAAGCCATTGTACACTTGCTTCGTCGAACCGATATAATTTTTTAAAGTCACGACCAAGTGAAGGTAAACGAGGATTGTACGTTTTAACATCCCTAACATCCACAATTTCCGCCATCATCGTTTGACCACCTTTCATTACGAAGTTGAGTCTGCTACTGACCACAATCAGAATTTTTGAAGGATATGCTTCCTAGGCCAAGCATAAGGTGAAGATTATGAATATCCTTTTACTTATGTCACTGCTTTGAAGGATATGCTTATACTCAAAAAGCAAAAGCATTTACTTCAAATTAATATAAATACCATCTGGAGGATTTCCTTCAAAACTTGCAAGTACAAGGATATCCTTTGTTTTATGAATACCGCTCATTGGTTTGTTAAATTGTGAAATCGGCCCTTTCTGGCAATCGTGTTGTTTTGCTGTACTGTTCTACCACGACCACATAACATATAAAAGAATAACACTGAGTCACGACTAGGATAGTGATGGGATATTTTATTCATACTGATCGGTGGATGAAAATAACTGAGTGACTCACCCCACTGCAAGTGGGGAAAGTGATTTTTCTCAGGTATCAAAAGGACCGGTCAAATGAGAATTCCATCTGACACGCTTGTGACATATATCTAGAAGTCATATTTAAATGTTTTATGAAAATTTTTGATTGATATCGGTGAATTTCTAGTACAACCAAAGGTCTGAAAAATCTTGGACCAACATCTGAAAATCTCCAGAAAATATATTAACATAACAGTCGAGTGAGTAAAAAATCTTTCTAAAACATGTATCGAGAACCTCAGGCTCTAGGGGCGAAGGGGTAAGTGGGAAATCTCACTTCACGTTGACTAATGGAACGCACTGACATGTGAGGCGACTTGTTAGTTATTTAGAAGCATGAAGCCCACAGATTTAAAGTATTTCAAGTACGTGCGTGAAATTATACTCGTAGTTGCATTAGCAACAAGTGCCAAAACCTGCATTTTGCCTTGGTTTTTGGCCATAACTTTTTTACTATCAGTCGGATCTTTTTACGCGTGGTCTCATTCTGAAGGTATTATGAATACCTAAAAATCTTATTTCAAGAGTTTTTGTTCCTGCCAACACTTTCAACTGGATCCCAAAAAACTCGTTTTCTCATACTTTGTTGTCAAATAAAAAGGTTTCCCACAAAAATTGGTGTACCCATTTTACGCGTCCATGTTTTAAATACCCTCTTGAACAAATTGAATCAATAAAATCAGAATTCGCAATTATTTCACAAATCAGGGGTATTCTCGTCTAATATGATTGGACTAGTATAACTTATAATAAAATACAAAACTTATAATAAAATACAAAGGAACAAAAAAATACAGAATTTTGAGTTCCCAATACATCTTCAGTTCAATTCTAAGCATTATTTTGTAAAAATTTGATGAACTCATGTTGGTAATGTTTCGGATTTTTATCACACATAAGGTACACCGGGGTAAGTGTAAATACGGGGCAAGTGTAACCTATGCCAATTTGTGGTCTTAGATTCTATCATAATGGCGCCATCTATGGCCAAGTAGGTTTATTATGATACCGGCTAAGCATCGCAATAGATATCTTGCGCGCTAGCAAAACGAACGCTTCATCACATTTCGTTACTTAGTGTGTTTGCTTTTACAGTTGACGACGCAGTTCTGTAGTCTCTTATAAAAATCTCTTTGTATTAAAACTTTGACGACTTTTCATCGTAATTTCTGGTAAGCACTCCATTAAAGGTATTATCTATTAGTAAATAAACTTATCTTTTCTGAATTTTAAAGAATTTTTTTTTAAATGTTGTGATTTACACTTGCCCCAAAAAAAACTCCCTTGGGGCAAGTATGAAATATGGTAGGTTACACTTGCCCCAATAATTCTATTACGTTTACACTTTCCCGTTGTTTTCAGAACATGGTCCGGAATTACATACGTAAGAAAGCTCCTCCAGCCTATAGCAAAAACGATTTGAAAGAGGCAGTACAAGCAGGGCAAAGAAGTACTCTAACATTATATAGAGCTGCATTATTGTACAAAATACCCAAAACTACTTTATTTACTCATGTAAAGGGTAAACGGGGTATAAAAAGTAATACGGGGGGTAGGGCACCAGCTCTGCCTTATGATGTAGAACAAAAATTTTCCAACAGTATCAAAATACTCGAAAAATGGGGTATGGGACTATCAAAGAGAGAAGTTCTTCAACTAATTGGGCGGTATGTGAAAGAAAATAATATAGTAACCCCTTTCAAGAATGGAGTTCCTGGCAATGATTATTTCGTCAGATTCACGAAAGCATTTCATTTAAGCCAGAAAAAACCGCAATCTGTGGAAGTGGCTCGAAAGAGGTATATGGATCCATTTGTTATGTATGATTACTTCAATATCCTCAAACAGCATATTGAAAATATCCCAGCATCGCAAATTTATAATATTGATGAAACCGGTTTCTGCCTGGATCCATCCCGGATAAAAGTTGTTGGAGAGAACGGTAGAGCAGCCCATAGGACAACAAGTGGTCCAGGACGAGAGAATATAACAGTTCTCCTTGGGGGAAACGCTGCAGGTGAAAAACTTCCTCCACTCGTAGTGTTCAAGGGTAAACACATATGGAATAGTTGGATTCCAACTGAGGAATATCCGGGAATGACTTATTCAGCCACTATAAATGGGCGGATGGAAACGGAAACCTTTCAAAAATATTTTGAAAACAATTTTTTACCAAATATTGGCAAAGACAGACCTACTGTATTAATTTATGATGGTCACACGTCTCACATTAGTATTTCTTTGATAGAAAAGGCAATAGCTAATGATGTGATTATAGTGAAACTTCCGCCTCATTCCAGCCATCTGCTACAACCTATGGATTTATGTGTTTTTAAGTCATTAAAAATGGCATGTGATGCAGAGCTCATAAAATGGCAGAGACAAAACTATGGTAAGAAACTACCAAAACCTATGTTTTGTACCATTTTATCAAAAATCTGGTCACAAGTAAACCCTTCGTTACTTATCAAAGGATTTGAGAAAGGGGGGATATATCCTTTTAATAATGAGGTCATTCCCGTTGAACATTACGATCCAGAAGCATATAAAAGGTGGTGTGATTCAAACTGCAAAAATAACAATCCGGAAGAAGCACAAGTAGCGCAACCAAATTTACGATCAACATTAGAAGAGCGTTTTAATTTGCCATCCACTTCAACAGTACCACCAATAACTCCGCAGACATCGTCAGTAAATTCAATAAATCCGGAAATGCCATCGACCAGTTCAGAACACCAGAATCCGCCAGTTAACAACACAAAAAGTTTTGAGAGCATTCTCTTAGAACAGCTAAAACAGATGCCAAAACCAGCGAAATCGATCAGAAAGAGAGTATGTATAGGTGCCGAAGTTATTACATCCTTGGAAGCAGTTGCTAAATTGAACGAGAAAGCAAACAAAATTAAAAAAACCAGAGAAGTCGACAACTAAGAAAGATGGTAAAAAATTGAAAAGAAAGCAAGTATACGTAGAAGACACAGATGAAGATAGTTTTGAAGAAACGGAAGTCAATACTTCAGATGATGATTTTGACTTAGACGATGAAGTAAATGATTTGCGTGAAGAAGAAGAATTCGTGAAATACCTGGAGAAAGATCCTCAAGAACTGAAAATAGGGGACTGGATTCTAGTAAAATTTGCTACTAAAAAATCATTTAAATTTTATGTAGGGCAAGTGACAGAAGTAGAGCCATGTTTAGAAGCAAAATTTGCAAGACGCTCGGGATCTTCATCACAATTTCATTGGCCAGATACTCCAGATGTCTCAGTTATAAGAAGAGATGAAATACAACACTGTTTGCCTGCCCCAGATATTCACAGAAGAGGACACTTCCAAATTCACATTTGAGCAAAATATATCCTAAGTGATTTTTCCTAGTAAAAAAATCTGATTATATTTAGTCTCTTCTTTTATTTACACTAGCCCCAATCAAGTCTCAACACTTTTGTAGTAATTCAGACAGCGTATTTACACTTGCCCCAATTTGCTGGGGAAGTGTAAACCATTATGCTAACATGAAAAAAATAATTTCTAGAAAAAAATCTATACTGATTTTGTTTTGTGTTTGTAGATTTCGTTTCTACATATACTTAAGACTATACTCTCAAAATTTCAGTGAATATCATAATTAAAAATAGGAAATACAACGCGAAAAAGCTGAACTATTGAAATTTTGGGTCACACTTGCCCCGGTGTACCTTAAACTAAAAGAAGTACGATATTTGAACAAACAAGAAGTTTTGTTCATATTCAAACACTACAATATTCACCTTGAAATATTTAACACTGATAATATACAAAACATTAAAAAATGAAGTCAAGTAGATCAGCTCTATACTTCCTACTCCTTCGATGAATGTTTAAAAAAAGGATGAGTCAAACTGTTTCAAGAGGCGAAATCGAGTAGAGTAGTGATTAGGTAGGTTCACTTAGATCCGATGAATCTTTGACCTCCGCATATCAAACTGTATAAAGCAAATATAACATATTTCTGTTTTTATGGCAAATGTAGGGAAAATGTGTGTGAATCATTATGTATAACAGGTGCATAGTATCACTGAGATCAGCAGCTTCTTAATAATAGAATCGCATACAGCTTCCAACCTATAATTCTCATCCCCTCCAATTTTTAAAAATCTCTGGAACGCTTTGTAACACTATGTCCCAGCGATTTTATTTCCGCCGCCTCTGAATCAACTCTCAAAATATAAGTTTACCTAAACAATGAAAGTATTAAGCTTGCGATAATATTCGAACTTCGGTTTCACAAGTTTTATCTTGCTTAACACTTTAACTGCCGAGGAAATTTGGATATACTTGCCTCTACGCCAGGATTTTTTCAGCGTGTTTTTGTGGGTGTGTCAAAATGACACACGCGGCGCGGTAGGAACAAAAAGTCGACCTTGCGCCGTGCGCTTCATTTTGACTCACGCGTGTGACCCTGCAACCCTTCGTGTAATTCGGATGTTTTCGCAAGAATTTCGGTAAATAGTTTGCTATTGTCGAGTCTCAGCGTGTCAATCATCAGTACAGTGTATATCTCAATTTTATAGCGCGAAGGAAGTGTTTTCTGCGCGTTTATAGGTTATGTTGTTTTACTGACATTTTCTAAGTGCCTACAAGTTATTCAGACCATTTTGAAAGATACTTTTAGTTGTGCTGTGTGTTCTGAAACTTACTGAGTGAGGTTCAATAATAAAAATGTGGAAACGGCACGAAAAACAAAACGAACAATTAAAAAAATGGGCGGTAGAAATTACAAATATGACTGACGAGGATGTGGAGCTTATGAGCAGTGCCTCTGCTGAGGATGTCGACGACTCAGAGGCTGACAAAAACTATAGACCAAGCACGTCCGATAGTTCGGTATACGAGGATCGTCCATCTACAAAAACTGCAACAAAAGGTAAATAACAAAAAATACATTAATTTTTTTATTTTATTTTCCAATTATTGTAGGAAACAAAATCAACTTTCCTAATTTCGCTGAAACTCGCAGAGTTGTTCTTGACACATGTGAGACAAAATGTACTTTTTATTCACAATATTTTATCTTTGCATATGACCAAGTAAACTTTTTTAGGTATACCAAACCATGGAATATCTGCAGACTCTGGAGAGTGCACCTCAAGTAATGTCAATATTCCACTTAGCAATGATAGAAACAAGACAGTTTTCGTGGATAAAGATACCTATAACCTGGAGGAACCCTTCTGGTCGAAGCCTAAACAATTTCGATTTTGATACAACCCACGGAATACCCTCCAACATCGTGGAAACCCTTATTGGAAAAACAGAACTTGAAATATTCACGTTATTCATCGATGATGAACTAATTGACCTTATGGTGCGGGAAACAAATCGTTATACGCTGAACAAGTAATAACTGAAAAAATCTGTGATGATTCAATAACACGGCGCTCTCGTCTGAATGATTGGGTAGAAACCAGTGTAATTGAAATTCATGTTTTTTTGGGCATAATTCTGTGGATGGGCCTAGACAGAAAGCCTTCTCTGTCTCATTACTGGAGTCGATCTGAATTGTATAATAGTCCTGCTTGTAAGTTTATGCCCAGAAATAGATTCGAAATTTTACTCCGCATGTAGCATTTTGCCGACAATGAAACTTGCCCTCCCGGCGATCGTTTACACAAAGTTGGAATTCTTGTCACCTATTTGGTAGGCAAGTATCAAGAATACTTCATTCCATCAGAGACTGTGCATTGATGAAACTATGGTGCCGTTTAGAGGAAGATTACGATTCCGACAGTACATGAAAGGAAAAAGGCACAAGTTTGGAATAAAAATATTCAAGCTCTGTGGAGATGGCGGTTACACCTACAATATGAAAATTTATTGTGGCAAAGAATCTCAGAAGGGATGGAGTTTCAGTTGCAGATAAAGTAGTTTTCGAACTCATGAACAATCTACTTGATTCTGGCAGCATTTTAGTTACGGATAACTGGTACACTAGTGTGGGATTGGCGAGATAACTATTAGCACGTTCAACTCATCTTGTTGGGACTTTACGTAGTAATCAAAAATGCAACCCCAAAAATGTCATCACAACTTCTCTAAAGCGCGGCCAAATCCTAGGCATGTAAAGTGACGATGGCATAACAGTATTCAAGTGGAAGGACAAACGTGATGTCCTTATGCTTACTACAAAACACAGTACAGAAAAATCTGATCAAGAGAGACAAAGATCGGTTACCATTATGGAATACAATGCAGGCAAATCGTTCATAGATATCTCTGATCAGAAATCGTCTTATCCTTCGGCTGTCAGAAAAGCTTTGAAATGGTATCGGAAGGTAGCAGTAGAGCTTTTAATGGGAACAACAGTCGTAAATTCGCTTTTTCTTTATAATAAAGTCAATAGAAAAAGTACATCCATAATAAAGTTCAGGGAAAATTTGTGCTCACAGTTCCTTCACTATGGACAGCCCTCCAATGATAATATAGGAAGACCACCACGGAGCACTCACAAGTTAGAAGTTGCAAATAACGACAATAAAATAATTCGAAGTAGTTGCAAGAGCTGTTATACAAGATTTTCTGAGGCGCAGGGAAGGAAATATGCAAAGAAAATGGCCAAGACAGTACGCTACATATGTGCCGGATGTCCCGAGAAACCACATATCTGCAAGGAATGCTTTTATAAATTACACAACATTTCGTAAATACATTACTTTTCTTCATATATAGGCATCATAATTATGTTAATAAACTTTAATCGTCTATAAAAATGTTAACTTTTGTTCACTTTATACCTATAAGTAAAAATTGGTACCAACCAAGCATTAAAGTTAATATCTTTAGGCCATTTGTGATAAAAGGTCCCCTACGCCAGGGCTATCTGAAACCCCATAAATATATACTAGAACTGTGCGCGTTTTAGACACACAAAGCGAATATCACTTCTTGAACGTGTGCGTCAATATGGCGCATATGGCGTTCAGTGTAGAGGCCGTATGTGCCAATTTGACGCTCATGGCAGTTAAAATGTTAAAGACGTATGCAGAACACAAGTCCATGTTTCTCATTTATGCCTGTTTTGTCAGTCCGTGTCTGTTGTAAATCTATGGGTCATAAGTACCGAGTTCATCTACTTCACGAAATATTCAGGGAACCAGCGTAGACGGAGTAACACAAATTAAAAAGATTAGGCGGAATGGGTGGTAAATTCAAGGATCATAAAATTTCGAAAAATATTGGTGTAGATATACCTAAAAACAGTTAAGTCATCATTTACAAAAGCATCGCAAAAAGCGTTAAACGTCCTCCTAATATCTAAATATTGCTAAAGTATATTAAGTGACATATAAATCCGAACACCCAGTTTAAATGGTTTTATTTTAATAAAAGTTGGTGAATGTATTTATCTTACTGTAAATAACAAGTGAAAAAAATTTCAGCCTTATCAGTTGGACATTCCGGTTTTTATACTGCTTTTTTTTTAATTCACTAACGCTCTAAAAATGAATATTTCAGCCGCAGTAAAGAATCAACGTTGGCGGATTTTGGTTCTTGACATCCTTTACGATGTGTTACGATGCCTAGAGTACGGAGACCTGTACGATTTCGTCAACTTAGTGAGTTTGATAGGGGCCGTATAGTGGGACTTCGGGAAGCTGGACTTTCTTTTCGGGCAATTGCAGTGCAAAGACGTGTAGACACTGTGGTTAGGTGTTGTCAGGCATGGCTTCGAGAAGGCCGTACGCAAAGAGCAAGGGGCACTGGACGCCGCCGTAGAACAACAGACCGTGAAGATCGCCGCCTAAGATTATTGGCCTTAAGGGACCGTTTCTCCACTACCAGGTCCATTGCAAATGAATGGTTTGCAGAACACGGAAGACCTATTGGCATGCGAGGTGTTTACCGACGAATGAGAAGTTTTGGCTTGTTTTCATACCGGCCACACTGGGTC